TTCTCTGTGGCAGATCTAGCACTGATTGTGCTGAAAGGTGAAGACTTTAACAGAATCCCTGAAAGATTAGGAGATAGAAGAGAAAATCCATATCGGAAAAATGCTGATTTTGATGATCCAAAGTTGGTTCAGAATTTGAAGTGCATTTCAGCTTATTAGCTTGAGAAAGAAAGTCTCTGTAAAAGGGCCGAATAAAGCTCAAACTTTGCTGGAAAAAAACACTAACCAGGTAAGCTCTGAAAGCCGACTGAATCCTAATAGCCGCCACTTCTTGCTGCCAGTCTCTGCCACTGTTGCCCGGAGGAGTAAAGGAAACAGTTCCAGCCTGACGACCTCTGCAGCTGCCTGAGCAGCAGCAAGAGTAGCCTCGGCGACGGTGGCGATGGCAGCAGCACGGCTATGGCATGTTCGTCGTAGGACCATCTGAGGCCACCGCCACCAGCATTTAAGGTCTTGTTGTCATAGTTGGAGGAAATGGAAGATTTGATGAGACACGGCGGCGGATGAGAAGTTTGATTGGAGGAAGTGAGGAAGGAAAATTATGTAACCTAATAGGGGAAGTGAGAAACAGAATAAGTTGTAAATTTTAATTGATTCAGGCGTATTTTTATAATTTTGTATTTATTCGAACCTAACGAGCAGCTCGTCGAGCTATCGAGCCTAAGAAATGAAGGCTCGAACTCGCCTCGTTTGTATTAACAAATGGCTCGAGCTTAGCTTGAGCTCGTATTGACGGAGCTCGAGCCGAGCTTGGACTCGAGCTGCTCGTGAGCAGCTCGAGTCGTCAGTAGGCCTAGATCAAAGTACTTCCAGATTACAAAAAAAAGTAGGATTCACCCCTATATATAGGCGATCCAAGATCAAAGATACATGAACCCTATTAAATACTAATACATGAATTTAGTACTTCAAGTACATCCATAAATGGGTTAATCCAATGTACCAATGAATCTAGAGAGAATACATGTATCTATCTTCTTGAGAATACAAACGGACATCCACATCTTATAATTATTTCATAACACTCCCCCTTGGATGTTCATTATACAAAGAACATGCCTCGTTAAAACCTTAATAGGGAAAAATCTAGTGGGACAAAAACTCTAGTGAAGGAAAAAGAGTATACTATTCTTGTGTAATAATTTCTCCCCCTGATGCAAACATTATACGAGATCTTTTAGCCAGTTGGCAATGCTTTGGTAAACAAATCGGATTTGTAGCACATCAACCTCACCATTCTTCTGTAAATCATGAGTAAAGAAGAATTTCGGTGAAGTGTGTTACGTCCTATTTCCTTTAATATATCCCTCTTTTAATTGAGCTATATAAGTTGCATTATTTTTATATAAAATTGTAGGAGGATTTTTCTTCTCGGAGATAGCGAAATTTGTGTTTAATACCAATCCAATGTCGTCTTGTAGGCGAGGAACTAAATCTTGCCAATAAACTCACAGCAAATGATATATCTGGTCTTGTACAATTAGCAAGATATATAAGCGCATCAATTGCACTGAGATATAAAATTTCAAGATCAAGTATCTCTTCATGTTCCTTTCGTAGCCTAAACGGATCCTTATTAGGATCTAATGATCTGACGACCATTGCGGTACTTAATGTATGTGTTTTATTCATATAAAATCGCTTTAATACCTTCTGGATATAAGCAGTTTGGTGGACAAAAAAATTTACCTTCTAAATGCTCAATTTGTAAATCAAGGCAGAATTTTATCTTCCAAAATCTTTGATCTCAAATTCTTTCTTCAAATATTCGATAGCTTTTTGAATCTCTTCATGAGTTCCAATCATATTGAGATCATCAACATATATAGCAATAATCACAAAATTTGACCCATTTTTCTTGATAAAAACACAAAGACATATTAGGTCTTTGGTATAACCTTCTTTAGTAAAACATACATTGAGGCGGTTATACCACATATGTCCAGATTGTTTGAACCCATACAAAGACTTTTGTATTCTAATAGAATACACATCTCTAGGATTTGATTTACATGCTTCAGGCATGTTGAATCCTTCAGGGATTCTCATGTAAATATCATTTTCAAGATTTTCATACAAATAAGTAGTGACAATGTCTATCAGACGCATATTAAGTCTTTCATGCACTGTAAAACTCACAAGATACCTAAATGTGATCGTATCCCCTACAAGTGAATACGTTTCATCATAATCAAATTCAAGTCTTTGAAAAACCTTGGGTTACAAGTCCTTGCTTTATATCTCATAATATCATTCTTTTCATTCATTTTCCTCACAAATACCCATTTATATTCAATTGGCTTTACACATTTAGGTGTTTAGACTACAGATCCAAAAACTTTCCTTTTAACCAATGAATCTAATTCAAATTGTATTGCATCATTCCATTTTGGTCAATCATTTCCATGCCGACATTTATTAACCAATTTAGATTCATGATCCTCATCAACTTCTATCAAGTGCTACATTCCATTAGGCTCCAATTAAATTTTCTATAATTTCATTCTTTTCAGGAGTTGGCTCTTCGGGAGCTGGTTCTTCAGGAGCGACCTCTTCAGGAGATTAAATTTTGTCATAATATTTATTTAATCTCCGGAGATATTTGAAATCAATTTATACCTTATATAGGTAGGCCGGCCTTTATTTGTAGCACTTGTGCATGTCTTTCAGGGATATCAATTTTAACAAGAGTATTTCCTGTGAGAATAGTTGATTTAATGACTCTTCTGGAGTCGATAAATATAACTTTCCAGTTCACATTATTTTGTATGAGAATCGAGAAAATCCAAATTTTATGATTTTCTTTTGGTTGATCTTTCCTCCCCTTAATGTCAGTAATCGTAGCTCATTAGAATAAATAAATTATTCAATAGATCACTCTTCTGGGTGATGCATACCCGACATAAATTTCTTTTGGAGCCATGTATAATATAAAGGGGGTATGTATAAATACTTGTCGACATTCAAATATTCTCATTTTTGTCAAATCATATATTCATTGAAATCAGTAAACTTCTAGTTTATTGCAGGTAATGATTATAGATCAAATGAAGACAACTATATCGATAAACATGATAACGTGCTGATTAGTAGATTGATAACATGAAAACATGATAACATGAAGACAATTATTTCTAAACATGATCTCCTATTGTTTAATATCTCAATTTGATATCCATTTCTTCATCAGGAAGAAAATAAACAAAGATAAACATTAATAAAAGATTCGAGAATAGATTTTTACAAAGTAAATTGATAAAACTAACAACATACCAAAGTAATTGACAATCTAGCAAAACTAACAACACATCAAACATCTGGACAAATATTAAATCTTTAATATATGATCATTTTGCATCTTCAGAATGCTCAAAGAAATCTGCAATATCCAGGTGTCATGTTAGCATCATCATCATCATAAGCATCCTTTTGGTCGATAAAATTTGTCTCGATATTTTTGTCTTTCTTTTTCAAAGATACTTGATAAAGGTTAACAAGGTGGTCAGTCGTACGACAGGTACGGGACCAATGACCTTCCATGCCACACCGATAGCATTTTTCTGATAGTTGTTATTATCCTACTTCTGGGGGATATTTTGTTGCTTGCCACGATTATTATTATAAGGCACAAATTTGCCATGTCCGCTTCCATGGCCACGACTACGTCCTCGGCCTTCTTGACCACCTCTACGGCTACGTCCGCGACTACGACCAGAATTTTGAGATTGAGTCGCATTTGTTTCAGGGAATAGACTAGCACCAATTGGTCGAGACTCATGATTTTTCAATAATAATTCATTATTTTGTTCAGTCAAGAGGAGACATGCAATAAGTTCAGAATATTTCTTAAATCCTTCCTCTCTATATTGCTGCTGCAGGAGCATATTAGAGACATGAAAAGTAGATAACGTTTTCTCTAACATGTCTTCATCAGTAATTTTTTTTCACCACATAATGTTAATTGAGAAGTAATTCTGAACATGACTGAATTATATTCATTGATAGATTTAAAATCTTGTAACCATAAGTGAAGCCAATCATATAGAGCCTTTGGAAAAACGACCAACTTCAGGTGGTCGAATCTTTCTTTCAAATCTTTCCAAAGGACGAGCGGATCTATGACGGTAAGATATTTTGTTTTTAATCCTTCAATTAAATGATGACGAAGGAAAATCATGGCCTTAGCACGGTCTTGGTTTGAGGCATCATTCTCTTCAACAATAGTATTACCAAGACCCATTGTCTCAAGATGAATTTCAACATCTAATACCTACGATAAATAATTTTTTTCAGAAATATCAAGAGGTACGAACTCTTGTTTTGTGATATTAGCCATAAGAATATGCAATAGATACGTAGGAAAGAATTTTTTACCTCGACAAGTAGCCAAAAGCTATTCAAACAGAATCTTGACAGTGTCTCGTGCTTCACTTTTGCTCAAAGGTTAGACTCACGCTTTTCCTTCGCTCAAAGTAGAGGCTCGTGCTTTTCTTTCGCTCAAAATAGAGACTCGTGCTGATAACGTGTTGTAAAATTAATAAAATAAACTACCAAAAGTAAGGATTGGAATAGTAGAATAAGAAGCGAAGAGAGAGAGGAACTATAGTATTATTATCTTCACTGATCAAGGTACTTCCAGGTTACAAAAAAAGTAGGATTCACCCCTATATATATACGATCCAAGATCAAAGATACATGAACCCTATTAAATACTAATACATGAATTTAGTACTTCAAGCACATCCATAAATAAGTTCATCCAATGTACCAATGAATCTAGGGAGAATACATGTATCTATCTTCTTGAGAATACAAACGGACATCCACATCTTATAATTATTTCATAACAGATCATTAATTGATGGCCCCCAACAAATTTATATATACAAGGTTAAGGTCCTGTTTGGCACACCTCTCCTTCAGCCCTGCACACACAGAACTCCTTATAAATAGGTAGCACCCTTACAACTACTACCACCAGTGTTTGCCATTTACACAAAACAGATAAATTGTGCAGCAAACGACCGCAATGGCAAATTGTGCCACCAGAATCATGTGTTTTTTCTTCCTCTTCTTGGGCTTTGTCGTCCTTAGTTCTGCCGATAATTGCTTCATTGATTGGAGCTCTGAAAATCCCGGCGACTGGAGAACCAGGGCTCTCTGTTATCCCCCCCAAGACCTGGGTGAGACGATCAAAAGATTTATTTAGGCCTGTGATTAATCTTATTCACGTAGTTTTGACTGTCCGATATATTAAATCCTCAACTGTATTAATTCGTGAACTTCGCTAATTCTTGCGTACCAATTTGTTTGGACTCCTGCAGTTATCAAGTGTGGAACGACCATTTCTTCGGTTTCGAAAGTTGACTTGAGTGACTACAGCGATTGTCCAGTAAACCCTAATCCACAGACTACAACAACGAAACCGGTAGAAGACAGCCAGGTCGTCTTCAGTGATCTTCCAGTGGGTGCACCTTCGTATTTCATTCCTGCAGGTATCGACCAATATTGGTGTTCACAGGGGATGAAGGCCCGGGTCGACGTCCTTAGCCCCGATACTGCACTTTGAAAACCTAGTTTTTCTGCTATATGTACAATAAAAAAAAAAAGTTCCGTCATCAAGTTTGGAGGTTTAATTTACGGCTGTGCCGTACGCAATCGCTCATCAGTGCGAGGGACCTCCGTACGTGATTGTCTGTTCTTGTTCTCTCTGATTCCTGTGTTACTTTGTAACGTGGTGTCTCTGTTTTATTTATCTCGAATTCAGTGACTTTGAAACCCCCTTTTCTTATCCCTCGTTCTCCTGTAACTGAATATTTTGACTCCTCCTGATGGCTAATGCACGATGGAACTTCTACGCCAGCAAAAGATAATAATACTAACTCCACCCGCCAATTATCTTCCCCACCAGTACCCTAACTAATGCTTTTCCTTTTTTTCTTAGTGATTTTATATATCTTGAAAGTGTTATAGTACTGTGTTAATTTACAAGGTATTTTAATAAATTTTATTTTTCTAAAATCGGAATAAAACAATACTCTTGCGAAACACACCGTATCTTTTTAATTCAGGCGATCACATTAGTGCGACGGCAGCAACGATGCCAGAAAGGGGTACTAATACTTGTACCGCATGGGGCGTTTACTGTAATTAAGAAAAAACTAGTATTTCTTTAATTCGTATTCTTACATGTATAATCCCTCGTATCATGATGCGCTCTAATAATTTGTAGTAAATATTATTATACTTTCATTTTTTTCCCCTGTATTTGTCCAAAAAAAAAAAAACTGTATTTTGTTTAAAAAAAAAAAGGGCAAAAAAAATATGGAAACAAAGATCTGAAGGAAGTACACTACATGTTACGAGTTCTTACTGTCGTTATAATAGTCTCATAGCAAAATGATTTCATATAAGAGTATTATTACTGTAGTGACTAAATTTTGTTTGAAAAACATACTAATTAGCCAGTGGAGATTCATCATTAATGTTTTAAGCAATCCAAGAGGATTAAGACTTTTAACATCAGAATGGAAATTAGGGGGTCAACATGCAATAAAACAAAGGACTAGTCCCGTGCAAATTGCAATTTGGACATGGATTTTTCCAAATAGTTGATCGGTAGGATTTCTTTTGGTGCCCATTCAGAACAGTTGATCAGATAAACATGGCAAAAGTGACGGCAAAGTCAGCAGAAATCTAAGTTGGATTTAGGCTTTGGCTTCTGCTATTCAAACATTACGGATGTATTTGGTCCCTTCATCTTCATGGAGAAAAAGAAAAGACATTACGAGGTGTTTAAACATTTGATGGGATCACAAAATATGACAGCTAGCTGTTGAGTGGAAGCAGGTGTTAAAAGGTCCATTCCATTGGGATAGGAACATTATTGTGATCAACTCTAATTTGGTCAGCTCTACTTTTATTTTTCTACGACCCCTAAATGCTTTGAAAATTGAAAGTCGCTTTAAGAAATGTTTGTTTAGTCTGTGATAAGCATTACAGTCCCGCCATTTGCAAATTTGTTGCTGTGAGGAATGTTATATATTTGAGTGATTTGACTATTGAAAATTAGTTTTATGGAAAAAAGGAAGAAAAAGAAAAGAAAGAAGCAGTATGATATATCACAGATTGATTTTAGCACACTTCTATGTATTGAGTTTTACTTCTTAGATGAATTACTGTATCGTCCTATCCAAATAAAGAAGGTATTATTTCACAAACTTCCCCTGAAATTTATGATAATTAAAAAAAGGACCAAAAAAAAGTAGTAATGATCACAATAGTTTTTGGAAGTGGGGAGACTCTCAACGCACCAAAAGCTATTGCCACATTTATCGCGATCCATAACTAAACTTGCTCTCACAATGATTCTCATCTAGATCAAGCTCACAAACTGAGAATTAAGAAATTAGGCCATAAATTACACTAGTATTCTTATATTGACAAAATCAAATATAGTTTAGTGCTGAAACCTTTTCCTCTCATTTCTCAATGTCTCAATTGAGGTGAAAGTTCCGTTCTTGTCGTCTTCCTCTCGATCCTTATTCATTTCGTTTCGTCTTTTTACTTCTTTTTTTTTTGGCTAGGAAAAAAAAAGAAAGAAGAAAAGTAGAAAAAGATCTGAAACAAGGACGTTATGTTGTAGTCCGATTGATTTGAAGATTACGTACCACCTTATATATGGAGTACCATAACAATATATGGTAGCTAAATTGTGTTTTTTCAAATGTAAGTGCTGGTTTATGTACATTCTTAATGCAATCCAAAGAAAAAACTGTTCCTGTATGCTGGGATCTGTTTGCTTTGATGATTTCTTACCCTCTGTATAATCTTCTTTAGCAAATAACAGTGAACTTCAATTTGTTTGACAAATATCAGTGAAGGCTTGTGCATGTTTTGGTCCACCTCCGGTAACCATCATAGGACAACTACTTCTTCTGCTATGTACAATAAAACAGTTCTACTTGAACTTGGAGCTTAAGCTTTCCCCGTACTAGTTAATTTAATGCGTGTTTTCAGTAATTTGTATCGTTATCTTGATCGCTTAATCACTTTGTACTTGGTCAGGACTAGGGCTGCAAACGAATCGAGCCGCTCGCGAGCGGCTCGAGTCAAGCTCGATATTAATCGAGCTCGAGCTCAGAATATTAAGCTCGTTAGGCTCGCGAGTTTGGGTATATATATATATATATTTTTATTTTTATTTAATAATAAAATTACGTATATTATATATATATTTTTTATTTTTTATTTTCATAGTAAAATTACGTATATATCCTTAATATTTTTATTATTTATTAAGAAAAAAATATTATTTATTTATTTTTTTAAAAATAAAATAATTATTTTTTATTTTTTTTCGAGTTCGAGCTCGGCTCGACTTGATTTGAGTCGAGCTAGAGCTCGAAATTTGCCAGCTCGTCGAGCTCGAGCTCGGTAAAATTTAGTCGAGACTCGACTCAATTAGCTCAAAACTCGACTTGGCTCGGCTCGTTTGCACCCCTAGTCAGGACTCCCAACTTGCAATCGGTCTATTCTCAAATTGAGCGAGTTTAGAAGTGCTTTTAGCCTTCGTTCTCATCTGATTCTCTTCTTTTACTTTGTTTACGGTGGCAGCACTTTTGGGTTAATTACACTGTCCCCTCTAAACTTGTAGTTGTAGGGCAATCTGGTCATGGTTGTAGGGCAAAAACACCAAAACATCTCCTAAAAAACACTAATAAATTCTTGGCCTGCTCTTCTTTCGTTTCAGTATATTTTAACCAATTGGCTTTAATTCACAAAATGTTTGGGGGGAGGGGGATGCGGGACTCAGGGTGGATCCTACTAGTGTTTTGAAAATCGGATTGGACTGATCGATTCGATCGATCGAACCATGAACCGGTCATGTCTCTGGTCTGGTTCAATAAAAAAATTCAAAGAATCAATTGAATTGGTTAAATTCGATCAAGAACCAGTTGAACCTTGCCTAACTTACAAGTAGATCCTAAGCGTTCTTCCATTCTCTCTTAATCGATTATTCTATCAATGTATTGAGTACTTCTTTAAAATAAAATATTATATCGCCATTTTTTTATTTTCTAAAATAAATATTTTAGTTTTATTCAAAATTTTTAGGGATAATTTCACAAACCTCCCCAAAGTATCTAATAGTTGCAAAGAGCTCCTCTCAATTTTTAGAAATTACACCTAGTTCCCTTGCTTTTACTATTTAGGTAACAAAATAGATCTATCAGGTTAGATTTTTCTTCAAATACCCTAAACTAACCTTGTTCTATATTAAAAACAAAAGAAAGAAAATTAGTTACCTTAACACTTTCGTCCAAATTTGCAACAACACCACCACAAAGCAAATATTTCAAACTCCAACGCCAAATCTAATGATTTCCAAACATGCGACAAACCTAGCAAGCAAATAATTTGAACAGTTCAAAAATTTCAGCAGCTCCAAAAATCCCAATCTTTGTCATGTAATATCATCTCGGCCTAAATGTTTTTTGAACAATCAATTCTCCCTTGACAACCAACAATCAAAGTCACACTCTAAACTTTAATTCAATACCCAACACTATTGCAAAACAAAAAATAATTTAACCTACCACCACTAGTAGAACAACACTCCAACCTCCATAAAAATATATAACAACGTCCTAAAACAGGGTAAAGCCATCCATAACAAAATTAGAACAAACAATATTAATCAAGTAAAGAAAATCAAATGCACTTATTAACATCCTATACAAGTATTTAGCATAATAATCAACCCAACAATTTTTCCACTAATCCCTCCTCTTCCATGCTTCTAGTTATCAATTGCATTATTTATTTCTTTGTCATCACTACAAGCATATTCATTTCTCTTTGGTTGATAATAAAATCTGCTCCCGCAAGTAAAATAGTGCCATATTCATCAAGTAAATAGAGATGGTTATGGTATGATAGGTCATCATTAAGATAAACAGAAATATAGATATAGAGAAGAGTTAAGAGGAGAGGAAAGATATAGAGACAATAAGAGAAAGGAGAAAAATATCGTTGCTTACAAGAGTAAGAGAAAGGGAGAAAGAAAGAATGGCTATTGGTGAAAAATTAAAGAGATAGGGTTTCTTTTTCCTTTTTCTTATTCTTGGTTTTATTTAACCTTGCATCATATTGTGAGTTATCTATTAAGCGAAGGACATTATAGTCATATTTTCACACCAAGAGAGGTTAGTGTAATTTCTTAAATCTGAACGGAGTTGAGTGAAATTGTCAAAAACTTCAAGGGAGGTTTGTGAAATTATCCCAAAGTTTTAATACTAAAATAAATAAAGAATTATTAAACCTTTGAATTGGAGTTGAACTAGTTGAACCACAATCCGAAAGGTTTTCGATTCACTCTCCGGTCAGAGGTTAAAAACATGAATTTACATTATTTGCCAGTGAGAATTGGCAGTATGTGCTATGTTTGCACCTTGCCAAATAATTCTTCTCCTTAATTAAGCACCGTACATGTTCCTAAGTTTGCTATAGGAGTAAATTCAACGAAGAATTTCTAGCAACCTTGCGTGACTTACAAGCAGATCCTAAGCATTCCTCCGTTCTCTCTTAACCGACTATTCTAGCAAATGTATTGAGTACTTCTTTAAAATAAAATATTA